AGGGTCTTTGCTTCTCAGGACAGAAGGGGCCCCTAGAGGCCCTCTCCTCCAGCCCGGTCTCATGTTGGACTCCGCAGCGTGATATCCCAGACGGATGGCCTTCCAGGGACGGGAACCTGCCCCCCCACCTCCTGAGAAGGCCCCCTCCATCCCTGAACCGTTTAGATTGTTAGAGAACTCCACTTGAAATTGTCTTCCTGGCAAATTCTGCCCCATGGCTCTAGTTCTGTCTTCCAGGGCTTTACAGAGAAAAGGAAAAGGAAAAACAAAACAAAACAACAAAAAAAACCACCCTTCTTCTACAAGGTAGCTTTTTAGATTTTTAAAGGAGTGAATACATTTCCCCTCTGTCTTCTTGATCTTCCAGGGTTGAGGTATTGAGGAAGCACTATGTTAATTTTGAGAAGCTGTCAGGTTAGACTGATTTATTGTTTTCAAAGGCCTTTTATGAGTGAGTCATAGTGCTAGGTGCCATATTCCACTAGTCCTCCCAGAGGCAAAACCTACTTATCTCTCTTTCTCTTTCCCCTGATGCCCTGGCTCTGGGGGAAGCTGGGGGGCCATCCTGCCCCAGATGTTCTGTTTTGGAGGTAGTGGTGAAAGGTTAACAATTTTTATTCCAGCACCCTAGATAAGTCTCTGCTGATGATGTGTGAAGGCTGGTTTCCTGCTTGGCTGGCCTTCCCAGATGTCACCAATGAGATGGATCAGGGAATAAAAGAATCTTCCTTTGAGACTTGGCATTGCAGGCGTTCTGTAGCCAGGAGGATTTTCTTCTCCTCCTCCCTCTCTCCTTTCCTGATGTCCCTGCGAGAACACCTTGTGCTGTTCTCTCGGCCCACCAGGTAGAACAGTGTAACAGAGAGAGCCACACCTGGGTTCGTTATATGCTGTGCTGCCACCTGGAAGCTCTGTGACCCCTGGCCAGTTAAGCAGTTTGCTCTTTGAGCCTCTGTTCTCCCACCTCTAAATCATAGTTCAGTGAGAAAAGGCCTGCTAAGCCCCTGGCCCAGCCCTTGCTGCACAGGAGATACACAGATATCAGCTTGCTGCTCCCCTCTCTCCTTCCCCCAGCCTTCTTTTGCTGCCATTTTTGAGGGATTTAAAGGCACGACACTGTGGCTTCCCTGGGGGAAAGAAGCTGAATGTGGACATAGTAGCCAAAGCTAGTCTTCGGTAGGTATTTGGGAGCAAACTGTCAGTTTCCTGTGAGCTCCTGGTGAGATCAAAGCAGTTAAGAGAGTTCTCAAGTAGGAGAGCCTGGGAAGGTTGTAAATGGCAGTCAGTGAGCACTGGCTGCCGCTGGCCTCCCTGTCACAGAGCCTGTTCCCCTGGGCCGTAAACTGAAATGCTTTTCTTGGGGACCCCTCGACAGTGTTGAGCTGGCTCCCTTTGGACGTGTGTTCCCCACACACACCTCTACCGCTCCCCAGTTGCCTCCCCACCATGGTCTGCATCGGCCACACTTGGCATCCAAGAAATAAATCATCCCTGGGCTTCCAGCAGTCACACCCACAGCCTGGGGATAGGCTAAGAAACCAGCGCACAAACTCCAGGTGCCTAAGGGGGCTGTGTTCTGCAGTAGTTGGGCAGAGTGAAGAAGAACCAAGAAGATAGCCGTGGAAGCCTATAGTCCTCCCTGTGAAAGGAGGGAGAACTGAGGCTTTGTAGGGTTGGAGGTCACTGCCTTTCAGTATACGTGTCTGCACTTTCTATGTGCTGGGGGCTGGGGATACCCCAATGGGCACAGACAGGGGACAGAGGCGGGGGCACAAGTCGCCAGCACACCAGATGACAGCCCAGAGGAGAAAGGCGTGGATTCTGCCCGGTGGACAGAGGCGGGAGGCTTCCTAGGGGGGAAGCAGCATTCCAGCAGGACTGTAAAGGGTGGGCAGGTCCAGGAATTACTCTCACTTCAGCTAGAAAATCCTGTGAAGCAGGGTTTAACTGCCCCAAGACAAAGAGAATAATGCACAGAGAGTGGACATTTCCCCACCAACCCCAGCTGAGTATTTTAGATGAAGTAATGGCCCATCCTTTCCTTGGACAAAAGAGAACACCTCCACTCCTGGGAAACTCTTGCCCTGTGTTTTCTTTAAATCATCACTAAAATTCCTATCTGTGGAATGGGTCAAACCGTAGGATTGCCCAAAGAGTTGGATGCTCTCTTTCCATCCTGTTCTGGCAAATCTCCCTGTCCTTTGCGGTCACTGAGCCAAGGGTGCTTTATGCTAAAATACTGTCACTAAGCAGATTTTTAAGTGTTTCCTATTTAGCAGGCCATAGCTAGTGCCAAGTCCGACCCTCCCGCTGCTCAGGTTCTGATTCCATTTGAGCAGAGCTGGAGAAGGCCAAGGGGTCCTGCTGGTCCCCAGGCCCCCTCCCCACCCCCCAGGGCGTTCTTCTCTGTTCCAGAGCTGAGCCCTCACACCTGGGTGTTTATTTTCACACGTAGTCACATGGTGGTTGCACTGGTGTGCTTGTTTTGACGCTCATCTCCTGCTGTGGGAAGCGCTGTCTGGGTTCTGGGTTGTGGATTCTGTCCTCCCCACCCCTCCGTCCTCCCCACCCGGCTGAATGTTAAAGCATTTCTGAGAAAGCTCTGAGTGCCTGGAAGTTACTTGTAATTAGCAAAAAACTGTGTTTTCATCTCTCTTGGTGACCTATAGAGAAAGAAACCTCCTGTGAACAGAATCCGCTTCAGATCCCCAGCTAGAGAGAGCTGGGAATTGAGCTGCCGCACAGTAAACAGCTGACATAACAGAAGCGGCAGTGATCCCCCATTAAATGTCTTTCAGCCGATAGGGGCTCCCGGGATAATTGACTTTCCAGCAGGAATTACTGGCTCAAACAAAATCAGTGGCATTAGGGCAACCTCCTGCATCCTTTGAAAGGGGGACTGTAACTCTGTCTGGTTTTGCTGACCTGACAGGCATAATTCATCTTGATTATTCATTGTGCTAGTTGCCACCAGATGACACCAGATTTCTGTTCACTGTAATTACAGTGTGGGGGTGAATCTTAGCCTTTTTCTTTATTCTTTTTGTTTTGTTTTGTTTTGTTTCATAGTGTTTCTCCTGCTTGGTTATTGGCCTCCCTGAGCTGAAGAGCTGTAGGGAGATCTCTGGTGGCGTCTGCCTGGGGAGATGATGAGTGCACTTAGATAGCATTTACTGAGCACTTCCTCACACACATCTTTTACGAGATAAGTAGGGAAACAATTTGGTCTAGCCTGTTTCATTTCAGCTGACAGAGTGTCAGTTCTTCTTGGTTATACTTACCTCCCTGTGTAATTGCTATCAGAAAGTAGGTCTGCATCTCAGAGCACTCTTTGAGTAGGGGAAGCAAAGTATGGTTCCAAAATATGACTGAATAATAACCTCCTGCTTTCAGGCAAGCTTTGATTGGAGGGGGAGCTAGGAAGAAGGGAATTAGATGAGGCTTTTGTTTTATTGACAAGGTTTTACAACACGATCCCTGTGCAGTCCAAAGAATGTCCTCCCAAGAAACCTCTGCTCCCCAACCCCAGAGGCCCCTCCCCCAACTATTTGCACATGTGCCTGTGGTCCTGGGGGGAGAAATGAGAGAGTGACGGGCTCCATGCGTCCAGTCCCGTCTATGGGGTCCTCCGCTGACCAGCATGGCAGAAATGAACAGCAGACTTATACTGACAGTTCATGTTCCCCACTAGCAGAGAGCCTTTTTGACTCTTCTGTACAGTAGATGTGTGGTTTTTTTTTTTTTAAAGATTTTATTTATTTATTTGACCGAGATCACAAGTAGGCAGAGGCAGGCAGAGAGGAGGAAGCAGGCTCCCTGCTGAGCAGAGAGCCTGATGCAGGGCTCGATCCCAGGACCCTGGGACCATGACCTGAGCTGAAGGCAGAGGCTTTAACCCACTGAGCCACCGGGGCACCCCTGATGTGTGTATTTTTAGAAGAGGTGCTTAATTGATACAAATAGCCAGTTACTGCCTTTTAGCAATGTTATAGTTCATCAAGCATTTACTGGGGCCTGTTAAGTGCCAGGTGGTGTGCTCTGTGCTGGGGGTACAAGCATGGATGAGACACTATTGTTCTTGAACTTACAATGTGGTGAGGATGATGGATAATTCCAAAATATGTTAAGTTCTAAACTCAAAATATACAGAGATTGCTTCCAGAGTGCTTAGCACGCCAGGAGTGAGGGGAGGGCTTCCCCCAGAAGATGTTACCTAATCCGAGGAGTAAGAGTTACCCAACTGAATAAAGGCAGGAGGCAGGTCCCAAGAACATAAACAAAGGCATATTTGCCATTTGCTCCTATTTGGCTGAGTGGTGTTGGTTTAACCTAATCAATTAAATTAGCATTAGGTTTTCATTATTTCTCTAATGGAAATGCATTTCACCTCAGAGGCACAGTCTCTGTACCTTGGGAAGAATATCAGTCTCTGAGGACCATCCTCTCTCTAGACTTACAGCTTCTAGTGGGGAGGCTTGGCCAAGAGACCAGAACTTCGGGACCTGTGTCCTGCTCCTGGGACACTTTGCCCGCCATTTATAGTGTCATAACGGAAGCTGGGCTAGGTGTCATTATAACATACCATTTAGTATCTAAGCACACCATAAAAGTCATACAAATGCATATACTGTATAGAACCTAAGAAGTACAGCTCAGAGTGATGGTTTCTGGAAGATCGTCTAGGGATGAGTAGGTTCTCCGAAAGTTGGGCCTCCGTGTCCTTGTCTTCCAGGATTATCAAGGATAAATAACACCCACCCTCCTCCAACAAATGGATGTGATTCTTCCACCTGGCTCCCTCTTATTTTGGAATGTAACTGAAAGCAAAAGAAGAAGCTGTCCCATAGGAGTGGCAGAGGCAGTCAGCCAAGCAGTCTTTTATGGTCTAAGCCCAGGATAGCACAGTTGCTGAAGGTCTTCGTCTTTGCCCTGAATGATTGCCCCTCCCTCTGCCACTCTGTCCTATTCCCTTCTGAACTCTGTGCTTTGTTCCCCTTCAGAATGGTGGTTTGGCCTGGAGTGATGATGCTGATGGAGGCCGGGGAAGAGAGATCTCTCGAGATTTTGCCAAGGTCTGTAATGTTTCCTTTGTGATAACAAAAGGGGCAGTTCTGCAGTGGGTTGTTGTATCTGATCCCCAAGGAGTAAGGACAGGAGTGGCCTTTGAGTCACATCTGTTGCCATACAGAGAGAAGGTTGTGTATTTCTGGTGTGAGACTTCCTGCATTAGTTGGAATTTTTCACTGTGTTTTTTTTCTGGGGGGACCGGGATTGCAGCTGTATGAACTGGACGGTGATCCGGAAAGGAAAGAGTTCCTGGATGACCTCTTCGTCTTTATGCAGAAGAGGGGTGAGTGTGCAGTCTACTCAGTTTTTCAACTCAGTGAATATCAATTGAGTGCCTACTGTGCGCAAGTCACTGTTAGCCATCCTCCGTGCAGAGTGCCAGCGTCTTACTTAGCCCAGGAGAACAAGAAGCATTTCCTGATTATTGATTCTGGCCTTAGCAGAGGAATTGGCAGACAATGAGATCGAAATGGGCAGAGAGGGCCCTGGCAGAAAATGAATGGAATTATCCATCCAAATTTTGTTCTCCCTTATTTGTGATGCTCTCTTCTGATTAACTGGTCTCTAGGAGGTATTTCAAATTCAAAGGTACTTTTTCTTTAGCCTTCTAGCAACCTTAGACATCACTTTAAACTAGTATGGGGGGTTTCGTGTTGGTGTACCTAGTCTCACAGAGACTGAGAAAGGCCAAGAAAAGGCTAGAGGTCCCTCAGGATTTGGTGAGAGGGTCTGAGATGATCCATGAAAAGGGAAGGCTAACTCTTTTTTTCTTACCCATTGGTTCTTTGATTTTTGCACCCACTGGGTCGGTTGGGGCGTTCCTGCAGTTTGTAGGTTACGTGGGCATCTGCTTTATTATGCACCTTCCCACTTCTCCGTCCATCTCTCTTTCTCACTTCCACACCGCCCCCCATTCCCCAACCATCTCCACGTTGGACTCTGGCGTGACTGAGTCTTGAGCCCCAGTGACTCAACTTCCTGGCTTTATATCCTGTCATAGCGGTGGGTTCACCAGCCAGGTCAGCCCTCAGGAAGCATGGCCAGAAACCCAGCCTCTCTAGGAGAAGGTCCACAGCAACTTGCGTAGCTCCACCCTCATCACCCTTAGGACACAAGAAAGAGCTGTTCCCACCAGCCTCTTGCCTGGGACCCTGCTTTCCTTGGCTTCTGTGTCAGCTCCTTAATTGGGATCTGGGACTGAAATCCTCCTCTTACTCTTAGGCTGAGCTCTAAAGGCAGCCCCCAGCAGGTATTACTCTGTGTGAACTCCTTTCTCTCCCACCCCTTCCTCTTCCTTTACCTCCTAAAGCCTCACTGCTGTCCTAGTAGCATGCCCATGACAGCTGGTTTTCTTACAAGGACGACTGAAAGTTTTGCATCTCCATGTCCTCCCATCGCCAGGCTTCTCAGAGCAGTCTAAGCAGCCTAATTAGTTTACTCCCCCAACTGCTATCTGGAGCTGCGTGTGTCAGTAAAAAACAAGAATATAATCCTGAAAGATAATGTGACCGGCAGCCGTGATACTCCCTGGTTGCCCTGAGAGCAAAAAATCCACTTAATACTTTGGTCTCCCTTCCAATTACCTTTTAATTATTTACAAGCTCCACAAGCCCAGCTGGTGCAAACCCAGGAGCTGATCTCGTCTCGGAGGGGCTGCCATAGCAATATAGATTTTAATCAGCAGTGTGGCTCCACTGCTTCATTCTCTACTTTATTGTTCATCTCCCTTCCCAGAAGGATTTTTTTTGAAAGGAAAATGGAAGTTAGATCAGCCTAGCCAAGAGTGAATCTAGGAAATGATTTGTTTACTACTCTGTGTCCCCACTAGACTAGGCGCTCCTTGAGGACAGCCACTCAGTTAGTTCTTTGCACCCGCAGTGCTAGCACAGCACCAGACTGGGAGGTGCTCAAGAGGTGTTGGCCGTCTGAACAGTCCTATAGGCTTTCCTAACTCAGCAGTCCCTGAGCTGGCTCTCTTTAGATAGCCACCCTGTAACTGGAAGTCAGCACCAAAAAGCGTGTGCGGACAAGCCGGCCACTCCGCGGCGGCCGGGCACTGCCAGACTGCTGTCGAGTGTATTTCTGAGTGACCCCAAAGCGGGAGTAAGGGAACTCCCTTTGATCTCTGCGACAGATCTTGTTCTGTCCTCAGCATGTAAGCTAGGTATTTCACTGTTTGCTGGCATCGCCCGTAGGAACAGAGGAGTCCGTTTTACTATTTGTTAGTTATCCGAATACAAGGTTTCTCAGCCTCAGCATATTTACTTTGGGGACTGGACAGTCCTTTGTTGTAGGGACACCTCCCAGTCGTGATAACCCAGAATATCCCTAGATAGAGTAAACGTCCCCTGGAGGACAAAGTCACACCCATCCCCCACCCCCCATTAAGAACCACTACTATGGAAGGATGGGAAAGAGGATGAAGGTCTAAAATTTACTTTGGAGAGAAATTCTTTCTGGAAATCATCTTCCCTCCACCCTGGTAGCAGGACCTGAGGGCAGCAGGGGCCTGTGCCGAGCAGTATCACCAGCGCCCCTCCCATGGCTGAGTGCCAGAAGAGTGGGTGCTGGGACCCTGTCCTGGGCTGCAGCACAGGGGAGGCCTCTGAGAGGAGCTTCCCTTCCAGTAGGAGGTACCAGGAGTGGGGGACCCACCCAGGTGGCGGCAGAAGCATGGTTGCCCGTGGCCCAGGCCCAGCTGGCAGAACCCTTGTCTGTGGCCTGGCTGAGTCAGCTGGCACACCACCATGGAGAGCCATGTTTGGCCAAGAAGTTAGCACTAGTCTGTGCCCATAGAATACGGCGAGTGTTGCCAATGCCGGGCCTTCTGGAAGCTTGCTGTGGCAAACAGTGTGTGTGCGCATGCACACGTGCAGTAGAGAGGGGAGAGGGAGGCACCGAGGCAGGGCTGGAGAGGGGGTGTTCCTTTAAACTGGAGGGGATCTCCTCCCTGGAAACCCGCATCTAATGGTCTAGCCTGGAGGGGGCGCTCGAGAGGGCTGTGAGCAGATCAAAGTTGTATTCCCGGGAAGCTTGCTGTCTTTGCTCTTCACACAGTGGTGAGCTCGAGGGCCCCTGGACATGGGTGATTGATTCTTCACCCTCGAATCGGAGTGTCTGCGGCACTCAGGAGCCAGATGTCATTAGTTGGGTCTGAGGAAAAGCCTCAGAGATGCCGGTAGCAGGCCAGCGATGACTCCTCCACAGCCAAGGGGAAGGAGAAACGTAGATTTCACAGGAGCCACTGAAAACAGCCTGAGTTTCAGAGGCCTGGTGACTCCTGCCTGGGCCGGGAGTGGGTTTGGGCAGCTTTGACACTGCAGGCTGCTCCGCAGAGAAAGGCAACAGGGCTCGGAGGCAGTGGTCGGCAGGCTGCCCCAGCAGCCGCAGCTGCAGGTGATGAAACGGCTGTCCAGTGGGAGAGGGCCAGGCCGTAACTGCTGCTTTGTGCAGCATCTCCTTTGCTTGTTAACGTGTTTGAGTGAATTGACTGCAACAGATGGGCCTTTCGGCTCCAGGCACCTTGGTTTCTGGGCCAGACCAGGGTGACTCCCACCCTGATGACCCCCTCCCCCCCACCAGCAGAGCAAGCTGCCCTAGAAGGAGCCTGAGAAGAGGCCCAGGCACAGGCCCGTGGGGAGGCAGATAGCCAGAGAAAGTGCTGTGGACTGGGTACAAAGCTGGGCTCACATCCCTCCCACCCAAATCTCCATGATCTGGAGCAAGTCCTGCTTCTGGGGACCACAGTTTCCTTATATGTAAAATGAGAGGGTTCAATTAGAATTAATCTGGAAATTTCTTCCAAGTTCTGTATTCCATCCATGACTGTGTCTGTTGAGCTTCCAACAGATAACGAGCCACCTTCAGTGACCAAAAAGAGAAGAAGAGAAGCCCCTCTAGCAATTCTATCCAAACAGTTATGTATAAACCATACCAAGGACCCCCAAGACCAAGTGCTTCTCCCCTTTCCTTGTCTAAGCCACACTGAACTCAACTAGTTGCTTTTGCTTCTCCCCCTCCCCACCCCATGTTGTCTGGAAGGATTGGTGAGATTTCAGAGTTCTGATGCCCCTTCTGGCTTCCCTTTAGCTGCGTGTGCACATGCACACATGTGTGTATGGAAAATACACACACGTTTCTTTGCTGAAAATAAAGCCAAACTATTGTAAATAAAATTCTCTGGCTAATTAAATTGACTGTGGGTGGTTTCTGAGATATCATTCTGTGATAGATTCTCCAGGGGGCAATCTACGTAGGCCAGAGGGGGACTAATTTGGAAGTCTGATAAGCAGAGGCTTATAAACAATTCTATTCTTCATCAGTGAGGAAGAAAAGCTTGTTTTCTTGTTCCCTAGGCCGTGAAACAGAAAGAAATTGATTTCGCTGTTATTTTTAATATCCCGTGTACTTTAGAGATCCCTGTCAACCCATTTTCCAATCTCCTCCCCACAGCTCCAGCTCTAAAGGGGTAGAGAGAGCAAAGTTCACCAGGTTAAGGGACTAGGCTAAGGCCACAGAGCTGATTGAGCATTTTTCCCCTAACTCCCGGGCCAGTGCTCTTTCCCTCTCCTGCCCTTGAGAAACTGGTCCCCCGTGCCAGCAGCTCCGTCACTTCCTGTTCTCTCCTTCAGCCTTCTGAGCCCTGTGGAGAATGCTGGTCTGCCTCCACAGTGGGGTGTCTAGTAGGGTCTGCCAGCATCTGGCTGATTAACACAGATGTAGAACTCTTCATGGAAGAGGAGTCTTCATCTCAGGGTGAGGCCTAGCTCTCAGGGAAGGGCAGATGTGACTGTTCAGAGTGGCGCGGAGGCTGCCATCTGTCAGGCAGGATGGGGTGGGGGTGGGGACACAGGGTGGAAGCTCTGACACGTCGTGCGCGCAGCCAGAGCACCTTCTCCCTGCCCCAGCTGGACACACCAGTGAATGAACTGCCTAGTGACACAGAGGACAAGTCTTGTCAAGACCTTACCCAGAGAGCTGCCCTCTTTCCCCCACTAGTTCTATTCAAGGCTGCAAACTGACCTTGGTTTTCCCAAATGGATTGTTGGATCTGTTCTTGATGTGTATATACAAAGAATTTACTGTGGGAAAAGGGTTTGGTCTGCCCCAAAGTGCAATTTGAGTGTTTTTCCTTCTGTTGTGTGCTTATCTATCCATCTCAGGCAAGGAAACGTCCATGACATATATTGCTTTGCCTTTTGGTGGAGGCAGTTTCTCATATATTCTTTGTATCTTGAAGTAAATGGTCTGTGCCATGGACACTCTTCCTGATAGACTAAAATATGTTGGCTTTGTCAGATGAAATAGGCTTTGGGG